AGTCATTAACCAATCGCCTATGCTTGAAGATGAAATAGTATCAACTCAAAATGGAGATTGGAGGAAATCTTCATGATCACAATAATTATTTCATTCAACTAGTATGTTAATTCTTAAATGTAAATTATTTTTTTTTATGAAGAGCAAGTAGTGTTGTTGTTGACTTCACTACCAAAGTTTTATAAATCTTTAATTCAGACATTGCTTATAAAGAAAAATATTGTTGAATTTAGATGAAATTACATCTGCTCTAAGAGAAAATGAGAGATCGATGAAAAATGAGAATATTGATACTGAGATATGAGTAACGTGCAACATTTTTAGCAAGGAAGAAGTAATTCATGGAGACCAGATGGACCTAGAGAAAGATCAAATTTTCAATCATGTCTAAAACAAGATATATATGAGTAACGTGCAATATTACTATTGTGAGAAGAAAGCTCACGTGCAATCAATATGTAAATAATTGAGAGATAACATTCAAAAATTGATAATTATGAGAAGAGATGATGACAACTCTCAAGGTAATGTAACTCAAAACCTTCATGACAATGAAGATGTCTTTTGATAACTACCAGAAAATTTGTTAAATCAAAATGTGTAATGAATTCTACTACCTCAAAACATATTTATAAAGATCAAATGATGTTTCACACTTAAAAAGCTAATGCTCAGTTTGGCCAATTCAAGTTAGAAAATAATGAAAAAATGAAGGTTAAAGACATTGAAACTATGAGAATGAAACTTTAAAATGGTAATATCTAAACTTTTAAAAATATGAGATATGCACCTTCTATTGTATATAATATAATTTCATTGGGAGAGCTGACATCATAAGATTATTGTATGTTGGTTCAAAATAGGAATACAAAGTGTAGAAGAAAAGGCGCTTGATATCGCAAAGACAAAAGAATGAGAAAAATCTTTGTTAATTGGAAGGACAAGTTTTAAGAAGCTAAATGTTTTAATTAATAGTTATATAAAATATTTAATTAAGGGAGGATTTGTTAGAAAAATAATTCAAATTTCAAATAAAGTGAGTGAATGGAAAGGACACTACAAGAAAATTGCGAATTAGAGAAGGAAAGATCCTTCGTAAATCCCTCGCTAAACAAAATGGCAAGGGACTAGCGAGGGATTTGCAGAGGATGATTCCCTCGCTAAATTCAAGTAGCTAATTAGCGACGGATGCATATCCCTCGCAATTCCCTCGCTACATTCCTTCGTCGTTCTCTCGCAACCAACTTTGCTAGTTTGTTGCAAATTTGTGCCGCTAATTCATCGCTATCGCCTCGCAAATGTGGAACCCAAATTCCCTCGCTCACTACAAGAAAAATGCTAATTTTTAATGGAAATTTCTGATGAAAATAAGGAAATTTTTGATAGAATATGGTATTTTTAATGGTATTTCCGTCGAAAAAAGTGGCGTCAAAAATAAAAATCCATCAGAAATACCATATTCCGTCAAAAATTTCCGATGAAAATTGTTTGAAGATCTTTATATGATTCGACAGAAAATTTTTGTTTAATTTTAATAAATTTATTAATGTAACAACTCTCATGTTTGGCCTCAAGGGTTTTATTTCACGACATTTCATTTTTCAGCGTGATTTTTCCTTACTTGCACAATTTCTGGAAAACTTTCCAGAAGGTCACCCATCCCTTCATTACTCCAAGTCAGCACGCTTAACTGTGAAGTTCTGATGAGATAAGTTACTGAAATGTATATGCATGTTATCAATATAATTTGTACAAATTAATTCATTTAAGTCATCTTCAACTATACAATCTCATACTTGTACTATAATAATCTATAACAATATATAAAGGGAATACAGTAGTTTGGTTTCCACTTTTTTAAAGTCATTTTTATCCTTTAATTATTAACATAATTACCACTTAAATACATATAAGCAGTTAAGATAGTTATTTTATCCTTTTACTAAAAAAACTGCCACCATCGTGATAGTTATTTTTTCTATAAAAAAAAAACTGCACAACCTTCTCTTTTTAATTGGATAAATAATCTTTGATCTTTATCATTTCGTTTCAAAAATCAGCATAGCCTGTTTTCAATCTCCAAAACAATAATTTCTTTCTTTCCCGGTTTTAACCATTTGGCATATTCATAATTCCACATCACTGCCAACAAAGGTGAATCTTTCACTGTTACAAGGGGTATTCCCAGTTAATTTCTTACACCCATCAAATTAACATGGTCAGAATCTCACTGCACTGCCAACCGTCTCCTTTGTAATCATTGAAAGTTACGTAAATTATTGTATTACAAGGACAGTTTCATATTTACACTAACCTATATGTATTGTATTGTTGCTTACAGCTTTGTATTATTCATTTTCTCGGAAATAATATTATTCCCTTTTAATTCAACTAACTTTTAAAGGGCTTACCTTTGTCATTGAAGGACCAAATAGAGGGTTTGATCTAAATTGTTAATTTATATCCAAGCAGCAAAAGCATGGGAAGGTTCCGGAAATGTTTATATATACCATACCAGAAATGATTATAGGCTCCTATATTTTATACACATATATGTAAAAAATTAAACCTAACATTCTCTACAAATGGAAGTGTAGGCAACAGGAAAAATTAACCTTCATAATCACATCCATTATCTTTTTTTGTCTCTGACACCATACTTGCCCTTCTAGAATTAAATCTATAATCTATAACAATAAATAAAAAGAATGATTCTTTTTGTTTCCACATTTATCTGGAATTTTTGGTCCTTAAAATTTATTATAACTTGATTATTTTTTAGTCTGTTAAAAGATCAAATAGTAAGAACATTACAAAAACACACAATAAAGTTAAACTGTTTTTTTAAAATAAAGTAAATTAAACTGCGGTCAAATTTTTAACAAATTAGTTTCATCTTTCCTCCCACAAAATAAATTAACGATTATTTCAACAAGTTTTTACTACTTTTCTCTTTGATTTTTATTGCATGTAATTGCATCATACTCTTTAAAGTTTTAAACTTGGATTAATCACGTTTATAATTGTTACTATGTATCACATTACTTTATTTCTTTTTTTGCTTTTTTTTTTTCTATTTCTATTTTCTAGCTTACATTCTCTTCTATATCTTTCTCTTTTCCTAAATTTTTTGGTAATGACAGTGGTTATTAATATAAATTTTGATTCTAATTATTTATCAACTGTTTCGTGCTACTTTTATTTAACACATTGCTTTCAGTTCTTCATTTTGGTATAACTTGATTTTGGACGCACATTACCTTGATATTTGTTGTTATAATTTCTCATTTCTCATATTTTGAACTGTCATTTCTTTTACAGAAACTTCCTTTCTTACACCCAAAAGGAAAGGAAAACAACTCACACTTATCCCAAACGCAAAATTCCACTTAAGCGTAACAGTTATTTATTATTTGTTCTTTCTGAATCGTGGTTTCTTTTCAATGTTGTGGGTCCCTTTGTTCTCCAATCTTCTCGATCATTGTAGACCCCTAAAATTGTCCGGGTCGAAAATAAAGCTCGAAGAGTCTCAAAGACCGAAGGAAAGTCAGCCGGAAGGACTCCTGGAAGACCCTAGGATGATTCTTTGTAGGTCTAGAAGTCTTAGAGTAACTTAGAATAAGGGTGTGTGAGGATTGGAGCTCAATACGCCCTCCCAGAGGTTCAGTACGGCCGTATTGAGCTTTTTGAACTACAATACGGCCACACTGAAACCAATACGGCCGTATTGAAGTTTTTGAACT